CACGTTTCTGGGCTGCTCCTGAAGGTACCCTTGGGGCAAATGGGTAGCAGATGCAAGCAGACGGACTTCAGTCTGATCTAAGAAAGAACTCACAAGAGCCCCGACTAGGTCCACAAAGGAATGGGCTGGGTGACCCTCTGTGAAGGATGCCACAGGAGGAATGCCTCCCACATTGGGTGGGAGGCTGGCCTATGATGGCCAGTGACCTGTCCGAGACTAAATTCTTCGGTTCTGTGAAATTCACACTGGTAGAAGAAATGGTTAACAAATGAAAAGTCTGCTCAGATTTAGTTTAATGAGACTAGTCCTCTCTGAGTACAGTTTTGTTCACTGAATTCATCCCGCGGCTGTGTACTCAGCTGGGGTAGAAATGAATACCAGCAAAATATTTGTTCTTCTCATTCCCCCGTGGTTTCTGTGAGGCTTCAACAATTGATGGCTCTTTGAACATCAAAGGAATTCATCCACTGAAGGTCCAGATCAGGCCCACTCTGGTAGATTCTTATTTATCACTCAGTCTTAGGATCAGGGTACTTGGCTCCACCTTTGCAGATATCAATTAATTTTTAAAAAAATATTTATTTATTAGTTATTTTGGTTGCGCCGGGTCTTAGTTGCGGCACGTGGGATCCTCGTTGCGGCATGCGGGATTCTTAGTTGTGGCATGCAGACTTCTTAGTTGCAGTATGCGGGATCTTTTAGCTGCGGCATGCCTGTGGGATCTAGTTCCCTGACCAGGGATGGAACCGGGGTCCCCTGCATTGGGAGTGTGGAGTCTTACCCACTGGACCACCAGGGAAGTCCAGATATCAACTAATTTTTTAAAACATCCTCTAGTTGACTTGATAATTCCTCCAAGCCAGGAATTTTACAATACAACACAATCAGTTTAATATGTGAACTCAATCCAGTCTGCAAAGAGCATTTTTCTTTTTCTAATGTGTCATTCTATTATACCAAATTATGTCTGCCCCTTTTCTACGGAAAAGGCTCTTTTTCTGTAGACTGTCTTACCTAAGTCCAGCTACTTATGCAAATACCTGCCCCACAAATGGCCAAACACTGAAAAGGTATAGAGTTCAACAGTACTGTCTGATTAAGCAATACCAACTTGATATTAATGACCTTCCATTCGATTATTTCAGGTCAACAGAGACTGCCTCCTATATACTGCTCTGGTCAAGGAGAGAATCAGGGCAGGGCAGATTCTCATTTTTGACTGGATCATCTCTGGATAATCCTGAAACCTATTTTGGGAATAACAGATGTGGTTCTAAAAGGATTGCTCCTCAAGTTCTCCCCAAAGCCCAGTTTGTGAGGCTCAAACTAGATGGTACATATGCAACCTCAACCCCTCCATCTTCTACAATCCTCACCTGCATCAAACAGCAGCCCCTTAGGGGAGCCCCACAAGCCTCAGCTGAAGGAACAACTGATGACATGTAACACAGCTTGTGTCCTTTCCCTAATTGGCTGCCTGAGTTCTAACCTATGTTTTAAATTTGTTTTCAGACAGAGATTTTGTTTGGTCACATGAAAATGCCTTAAATAGGCAATGCTATAATTAGCTCTAGCTGAAGTCTCATCTCCTAAAGTTGCTACTCTTGTCATCATCTTTTTTCTGTCTTTAATAAACTCTTCCCTTCTTTAGTCCCAGGACAGGCTTCTTGCTCACATGCTCTTTACAAAGAAAATTTCTCTGGCTGGCTGCCATCGGTTTCTCTGCCCACTGCCATTTAAAAAAAAAAAAAAAATTTATTTATTTTTGGCTGCGTTGGGTCTTCATTTCTGTGCTAGGGCTTTCTCTAGTTGCAGCGAGCGGGGGCCACTCTTCATCGCGGTGCGCGGGCCTCTCACTGTCGCGGCCTCTCTTGTTGCGGAGCACGGGCTCCCGACGCGCAGGCTCAGTAGTTGTGGCTCACGGGCCCAGTTGCTCCGCGGCATGTGGGATCTTCCCAGACCAGGGCTTGAACCCGTGTCCCCTGCATTGGCAGGTGGATTCTCAACCACTGCGCCACCAGGGAAGCCTGCCCACTGCCATTTTAAGTAAATTTTTCTCAACTGTCCCAATTTCTTCTGAAACAAAGGCAGATGCCAAAAATCGCTGGTTCTTTTCTAAAGAAAACTTGACCCAGTGGTGGTTAGCTAGTGGGAGGCTTTGTGTAGTCACAAGGCCTTGGTTCACCCATCACCCACTGATAAGCCCTCACAGCTGATTCCTGTGCAAACCCTAACACCTCAGACTGGTCCTGTGGGTTATCTGAAGCAGCTACCGAAGTTTGATGTTGATGTTTTTCAATGCCTATTCCCATGGCAGATAACCCATTTTGAACTGAAGGGTCCCCAAATTCTCTTTTGCCTTTGCTACTTCTGCAAAACTGCAGCGCTACTTCTTCTGCATGTAGCTAATTCTGATACTACTGCAACAGGAAGTGGTACGGGGTTCGTGAGGCAGCGTGTCTTCCTGTTGCCCAGCTATTCACAAAAAGGCAGGTTCTCTCTCTAATACTTAAACCATTCGCCACAGACTAGCCTGTGCTCCGCCACAGGTAATAAACAAATAAAATGGGTCATTCCCAATCTCTCAAGGCTGTATAATTTCACATTCATAAGCTGAGAGTAGAAGTAGTCCATACTAAAGCCATACACCGAAAGGATGAAAAAGAATTGTTTCAGATGGTAGAACTTAGTCACAGAGTTAAAGATTTTAGAGCCAATGTGACCCTGACGGGCTAGGCTCCCTTTGGCTAATCTAAAAGGTTTCCTTTCAATACTGGAAAGAAAAATGATCACCTTCTCCTTATTCGCCCTTAGAAATTTACTGCCAAAAAAATGGATTAGGATCAATATCAGGTGTGCCATGAACTGAAAAAACACTGTGACTCCAGGTGAGGCACAAAGCATGGTGTAAACACTGAATACACTCCCGTAGCCAAGAGCCCTCGATGCTCCTGGTGGCACATGCCAGGTGGGTAGGTTCATAAAAGCAGAAAGGCTCTCCTAGGCCCACACCTCCCTAAGCCCATAAGACACAGACCCTCTGAGTTCAGGCATCCTATCTTCCAAGTGACTTATTCATCAGTTATGGATTGGAAAATACCCAGCTCACAACACCAGTTTGTGTAAAGCTCACTTGAAAAGACTTAAAAAAAAGCTTGTCTCTAAGCCTGTTGGACTTAACCCAATGAGTCTACCTTGCACAGTGTTAACCTTGGTCTTCCTAGGCTTATCCTCACTAGGTTAAATAGCTTGGGTGTTGATCCAAGATATTCTGGACATGAGTTAAAAATTTTATGTATACCTACCCAACAAACTAATTGGTTTAACTCACTGGCGTTTTAACAAAAATTTTTTTCACACTTAGCTATGAGATTCTGTAATTGCGGTATGTACAAATGGGCCAAAGGAACTAACTTAGAAGAGAAACAATTTACTTAAAATACTCAGTAGTCTTCCTCCAGGCTATATACATCAGGCTAAACCACAATAAATAAAATACTGGAAAAGGGCAGCTACAGCTACAAAGTCAGATAGGAAAACATACCATGAGAGACAGAAGGGGAAGAACCAGCCTCTGCTCGAGGCTTTTATACAGAAAGGACAACACACCTCTGTCCCCTCTTCCCCCTTGGCCAGGTGCCCACTCTAGGACAAGCCCACAAGGGGAAAAAATCCCCTCCTAGGTGGGCCACACTTTCACTTTTACGAAGAATTTTCCCCTAGATTCTTTCATGCTAATCTGTAACCCTGTAAGAGATCACGATCCCATTTTCTGGACAGGCATGTCAAATGGGCGATGAATCCAATCCATGAGAACTGTCAGTTCTCACCACCCACATGTCACGATCTGCCTGAAACCTCAGTTCCCATTTTTTCCAACTCCCACATGCTTCTGAGAGGAACGAGATTAGGGCCCACCACTGGCATGGAAACGAGAGGGGAGGGAGGGGTGCTCCTGGAGGAGGATGGATGAAACCATTAATGATGGGTAGAGGGGAGCATCAAAGCTTAGTCCTGAGGTCAGAAGGTGACATAAGCCGGACTCTTGAGACTTGGCCTTCTACTCTGGGGAAAGCCCCAGCAAAAAGGGGCTTTTCTACCATCAGAATGCCCAGAAGGTGCCCACCTGTACCCAAGCAGAGCCTTTCCCCCTGGCCCAAGCGCCCACAGAGGCCAAGAAGGAGCTCTACTCCCCACAGGGCATAAATGGGGTGTCCGTCTGTCACTCAGGAGGTCCCAGCCAGTCCGAGAGGCCGTCCACCAAGCCTGCCAAGCTCCAAGGTACTGCCAAAGAAGCCGGTCGTGCAGACCAGACCTGTCACCTGGACCTCCCGGAGGTGCGGGGGCACGAAGGGGTCCACTCCCCGCCCATGCGGACGGTGCGTGTTGCCTACCTGGAGCTCGCCCTCTGTGCGGTGCAGTCCCAGGCGCCCAAGTCCCACGGCCAGGTCGTTGACACACAGGCCGCCGTCGCGGTTGACGTCGAGAGTCTGGAAAAGGCTCCAAAGGCGCAGCCGGTGGTCCGGGCCCCCGCAGACGGCGCCGCCGCAAGGGTCAACGGACGCCGGCGATGAGGCGGACGACGAGGCGGCGGCTGCGGCGTCCGGCGGCGGGGAAGCCACGCAGCGGCACAACACACTGCTCACCATCGGGCGCGAGGCGGGGGTGACGGGCCGGCGGGGAGAGCGCGTTAGACACGCCGGTGACCTCAGTCCACTAGCGCGGGCTCCGAGGTGCCGGCAAGCTGGCAGGATGGGCAGCTTCCGGGAGCCCCGCCCCGCCGCGCGCCGCCTGGATGGCCATACCCCCAGGCACGACGCCGACCAGTCACAGACCCGGAGGGCCACCTGGAGGGGCGGAACCTCCCACCGAGGACTGCCCACGCAGGCCTTGACTACCCGAATCAATGGAGAGGGCGGGGCGATCCCCGCTCAGCCTGGGGCAATTCAAACTGAGGGAGGCGGGGATTGGCTGAGCCGGGCAGGAGAGAGGAAATCACGGTGCGATAGGCATAAGTCATGTGATTGGCAGGCGGAAGGCCCCGCGTCCTATTTCCATTGAGAAACGCTGTTTAGACGGCGAAATCGTAAGGATGGGAGGGGCCGTCGTGTAAGGAGAGATCGCAGTCTCCGGTGGGAAGTAGGATTTGCGTGAGGAACAATTGTGAGCTGCGGTTGCAAGGCAGAGTTTGCGCCATTGGGTGGAACTGAAAATTAACTGGCTAACGGCTCAAGACCGAAAGCACTAGGAATCCTCAGGAAGCCGGGTTTTGGTAACCTAACTCCCTAAAATCACCAATAAAATAGCTGAATTTAACGGCGTAAAAGTCGTAATACTGATGATTGAACGACAGGACAACTTTCCAATGGAAGTGAGTAAAGGCTAGGTTGGGTGGAGCGCTCTGTAGCGACAGACACACCTTTAGACCAATGATCAGGCCAATTCCAGTAAGTAGGCATGCTCTTTAGCTGAGCGACAGATCGAAAGAACTAGTGATCGACGTGATATCTGAGCCGCGACCAACCGGGAGGGCGGGTCCCCCTGGAGAAGGGCTGCGAGGCGGGAAGAGGGGAAGTGGGCGGATCTCCGCACATCCCGGCGGAAGAGGCAGATTCAGGAAGCCATTACGCAGCTGGCTGGCGGCAGCTGGGTCGGTCGGGGCTGGGCCCTACGCACTTTGCGTAGCAAGGGGGGTTACCAAAGGCCTGGTACTTGGCCTTGGACAAGGCCGGCCTATCCCCTGTAGGGGGGGTGGGTGAGGAGAAAGGCTGAGGAAGGCGAGAAGGGGAATTGGGGCAGTTAGGGGATTATAGTTTCTTTAAAAAGCAAGGTGGGGAGAGGCCATGGCCGTCCCAGCCAAGAAAAGGAAAATGAACTTTTCTGAGCGAGAGGTGGAGATCATCGTGGAGGAGTTGGAACTGAAGAAGCACCTGCTGGTGAACCACTTCAACGCTGGGGTCCCTCTGGCTGCCAAGAGCGCGGCATGGCATGGCATCCTGAGAAGGGTCAACGCCGTGGCCACCTGCCGCAGGGAGCTGCCTGAGGTCAAGAAGAAGTGGTCTGACCTCAAGACCGAGGTCCGTCGCAAGGTTGCCCAGGTCCGGGCGGCTGTGGAGGGTGGCGAGGCCCCAGGGCCCACTGAGGAAGACGGAGCTGGTGGGCCTGGGACAGGTGGTGGCAGTGGCGCTGGTGGCCCAGCTGTAGCCCCCGTACTGCTCACCCCCATGCAACAGCGCATCTGCAACCTGCTGGGTGAGGCCACCATCATCAGCCTGCCCAGTACCACAGAGATCCACCCCGTGGCCCTTGGACCCACGGCTACTGCAGCCGCAGCCACGGTCACCCTGACACAGAGTGAGTGACCTCTCCCACCCAGTCTGGCGTGCCTAAATGGGAAGGGCCAGCAAGAGCTGGGGCAGCCCAGGGAAGGTTGGCTGCCAAGGGTCAAAGGTCAGATGGGAGTCTTGGAAGACCATGAGGCCTTCCAAGAGATCCCCAGACAGAAGTGATCCTGTTCTCTCTGGGACTTCCTCAGCACGCAGTCTGGACTTCTGACGGGCTGGCTTGCTCTCCACTGTTTTGCCACCATTCATGTCCATGACTGAACTGTGTGGTCCTTGAAGACAGAGACCATGTTTATATCTCCACAGGACTTAACACAGGGCCTAGCACCTAGTAGGCAGTCAGGACATATTTGTTGAATAAATAGGTAGGTGGGCATCGATTCTGGACAAAGACATTCCGGTTTTCAGTGTCGTGAACGTTCATCAGGCACAGCTGAGGAACCTCATGGTTCCAGGTGTTAATCTACCCTTCTGTTCACTCATCAACCATTAGGGCAATTCTGTGCCAAACCCTGGGCTCGGCACTGGGATTACCAAGGTGTCTAAGAGATAGGCCAGTTATATTCTAGTAGGACAGATAAGATGAATATATGAATAACTGCACTGTCAGTTGGGAGAACCTAAGGACTCAGAAGAGAAAGGGGGCTTCCTGGTGGGGTTGGGGGCACACAGTGGATGTTGGCATTAAAGGGTGGAGAAGACTGACCTTTCCCACATGCTTGGAGGCCCAAACAGCCCAGCTAGAATGGCTTCAAAGGTTCTCGCCTATGAATGACAACGAAACTGGTTGGTTGGACTTTTTAGTTAGGTAAAGGTTTGCACCAATGACTGTTAAGTGCTCTTTGTGATAGGCTGGGAACTGTTTTCGATCCGTGATTCTCAGTGGGGCTTGGGGGAATTGGGTGTGTGTGTGTGACTGCCATAACCCCACAGTGTCATATTTCTCAAGGATATGGAGGTGGGAAAGGGGATCAAACACTGGTCTAAATCAGTTGCTATTCTGGAAGAGGGCGGACCTTTAGGTATTCCATTGACCAAGGTGGTCAAGGAGACAGGGAGGCATTTATTGGGCACTTTAGCTAGTGCCTTCCCACTCCCACCTCCTTTTCTGCTTGGCCGTAAAAGACATGGAAGTCAAGAAAGCACTGAAGAAGGCCAGACCAGTGGGGCACTTCGGGGAGCATGTGGCTCTGCCTTTATTAGCCAGAAGCAGCTCAGTGGGGTGATTATGAACACATTGGACTCTGGTATTGGGGGAGACCTGCATTTCTTCCTGGACCTGATGAATCAGCTGACCTTAGGCAAGTCATTCCATGTTTCTGGGTCTACCTCCTCTCTGAAAATGAATGTGACAGTATCTACCTCTTGGTGTCATTATGAGGATTCATGGAGCTAATGAGTGCAAAGGGTTAGCACGTAGTAGGCGCTCTACATTTTTTGCTAGTCTTACTATTAGCATCTTTGCTTTTGCCAGATCTGGGGCTGGCCCTTTGGTTATTAAGTAGATTAAGATTCTAAACCCCTTAGATTCTAGATTTATATATGAAAGGCTATAAAGCCAGGGGAGGGCTTAATGGCCTCCTCCCCACCCCACATGGCTAGCCTCACTCTTTCTAGAAGGTGACCTGCCACTGCCTTTGCTCTTTCTTCCCCACAGTCCCCGCAGAGACCACCTATCACACGCTGGAGGAGGGAGTGGTAGAGTACTGCACGGCCGAGGCCCCCCCACCCCTGCCAGCGGAGGCCCCCGTGGAGATGATGGCCCAGCATGCCGACACCTCAGTCAAGCCGCAGGCGCTCAAGAGCCGCATAGCCCTCAACTCAGCCAAGCTGATCCAGGAGCAGCGGGTCACCAACCTGCATGTGAAGGAGATTGCCCAGCACCTGGAGCAGCAGAATGACTTGCTACAGATGATCCGTCGCTCCCAGGAGGTGCAGGCCTGTGCCCAAGAGCGCCAGGCTCAGGCCATGGAGGGCACCCAGGCGGCCCTGAGTGTCCTCATCCAGGTCCTCCGGCCCATGATCAAAGATTTCCGCCGCTACCTGCAGAGCAACATGCCCAACCCCACCACTGCCTCTGACCCTGGACAGGTGGCCCAGAATGGGCAGCCGGACAGCATCATCCAGTGAGGGCAGGGGTCGAGCCAGCCTTCCGCTGTGAATGGATGACACCACATGGTCTTGTAAGTGGGTTGTGTGGTTGGCCGCAGTCTAGGCCTGGCCATGTGGACGGCTCCCAGTTTGATAAACATTTAGGGGTCCACGGTTTCCGAGAAATGAAGCAGACTGGGAAGAAGAATTTGTTGGGTTCCTGGGACCCAAACTCTCTTCCCCCTACCCCTTGAGCTGTCCTGCTAAGAACCTGAAGATTGGATAGGTGGGGGTCAGGTGCTGGTGATGGGACCCATATTGTCATGAGCCAGGGCTTGTGACATGACCCAGACTTGGACTAGGACAACTGTCGGCCCTCACTGGGGACCATCTCACAGCTTGGGGGTCTGTGCGGAAATACCCGCCCCCCACCCAGGTGCCATCCTTTGGAGTAAGATAACATCAGTGGTGCTGGCAGTAGCACAAAAACATCTTCTTCCTCCCCTTGGGAGGCAGAGTGACAGCTGGGCCTGAGGAGGAAACTCCACCCTTTTCTCCTTCTCACTGTGCCTCAGTTCTCAGGGGACTCTAGTTAGTGCCGTGCTGTCCCCCCACCCCACTGCACCCGGGCACAGCAGGGGCCCTGTTAGTGCCCTGGGCTGCCCCTGCTGTACACCCAGGCTGCAGCCCGTCGGGCTCAGGAATTCTGTGTGTGGTGGGGACAGCTTGGTCGCCATCTGGTCTTCCACTGCGTCCCCAGGCAGCCCTCTGGTGGTTTGTCCCAACAGCTTTTGACTCAGGTCGAGTATCAGGCTTTGGGTGCTGTAAATTTTACTTATTGCCCCACTGCAGTGGGTCTGAGGTGACCTGTTGGCTCCTTCCAGAAGGCTTGCTGCAAGCCGGTTGTATTTATTCTGTTCATGAACCCCTCTGGGAAGGCTTCCGAGGGCAGCTCTGGCCACGCCCTTCCTCCTTTCCTCTCTACTGACTGTGCATTTTCAAAACTCAGTGCAGAAAACAGCCTGCTCAGCATCACACCCTGCTCAGCATCACACCCTGGACTCCCTTCTCACAGTATTCAGCGCCTTGTGTTCTTGTGAGACTCCCACTGACTGGTTAGGTGACTCTGAAGGCCTGATTGGCCCTGAATGTATGCAGTGGGAGAATTGAAACTGACCTAAGAAGTGGGACCTTGGACTTCTGTGCTCGGGGAAGAGCAGACCGACCTCGGAGTGCCGAAGGAGGTGGTGTTCACTGTTCTGTCTTGATACTTCCTCCCCATGTGTAAGGACTTTACCCAGATGGCATTTGTCTGTTTCATTTTCAGAATCGCCATCAATTACCGAGACCCTTGAATCTTTCCCGATCATTTCCCAAGTTTGCCATTTTGCTGCCGAGGCCTTGGCCACATGTGACCGATGGTTAAAACTCAAGGCTCCAGGGCTCCCCTGGTGGTGCAGTGGTTGAGAGTCTGCCTGCGATGCAGGGGACACGGGTTCGTGCCCCGGTCCGGGAAGATCCCACATGCCGCGGAGCGGCTGGGCCCATGAGCCATGGCCGCTGAGCCTGCGCGTCCGGAGCCTGTGCTCCGCAACGGGAGAGGCCACAACAGTGAGAGGCCCGCGTACCGCAAAAAAAACAAACAAACTCAAGGCTCCAGAGCTCAGCTAAACAACAAAGGTGCTGCCCTTCTGGGCACGTTAAGAATCGCTCAGCTCCACTGTTGCAATTACGGGAAGATGCCCCCAAAGATGGTTGGGAGGTGACTGCTTTACCACCATCCTCTCTGCGGGGTACATGTGCAGTGCCAGCTACAGAGCAGTGGAGAGGAATCAGGCTGTTGAGGGAGTTGGGTGGCAGAAGGAAAGGTCTTCTCAGTGTGGCTGGAAAGCAGCAGCCCCTGGCAGCCTGGGTGCCCTCCCTCCATGGAGCCTGATGGCCCCATCAGGGTAGCTTCAGGGACTTCCTGAGGGTTTGCAGCTTGGTTTGGTTTTTCTCTGGGGTTGGCAATCTGAGCCAGTATTGTGTCTGTTCCAACTGGGTATAAAGAGGAAGCTTGAGGAAGCTTGGATCGCTTCAACTGACTGGTTCTTTCCAGATCATAATTTATATTAAAGAAATATCACCTTTTTTGATATACATGTCTGTGTCTTCATTGGTTATATATAGAAGAGGTAGGGGCTGGTAGAGCAGAGGCTCACAGGTCAAATCCGGCCCGCCCACCTGTCTTTGTAAATAAAGTTTTATTGGAACACAGCCATACCCCTTCTTCTGCTTAATGTCTGGCTGTTTTTCTGCTACAATAGCAGAGTTAAGTAGTTGTGACAGAGCATCTGGCCCACAAGCCAAAAGTATTTACTCTCTGGTCCTTTCCACAAAAGGCTGCCTATCCCTGGTTTAGGGCAGTGTCTCAAACTCTGGATGAGAATTACATGGGGTGTTTTTAATATAACCAATCCCTGGCCTCATCTAAAACCTAGAAGAGACTCCTGGAGGGAGAGCTCTAAGAATATGCATGGTAAACAAGTTCTCTGGGTGATTCTGATATTTTCTGAAGGTTAAGAACTTTGGCTCAGAGACTGGAAGACAAACTCAGATGGAATCAGGATAATGCCCCAGGGAGGGGCTGGTTCTCAGGAGTTTCTGTTCAACAGTTGAGTGGTCCTGCTAAGCAGAGATTCTCACTTGAGATTGGCCTTCATTCTGGAGGGAGCCCAGCCTTTCTGGACACAGTTATCACTCTCTCCAATATTTAGTGATGATAAAAACTGACAGTTACTGAGCCCAGGTGTTATAGGCGTTACCTTATTGACTTCTTGCAACAGCCCCATGAATTAGGTACTAATGCTGTTCTCAGTTGACAGATAAGGTCACTGAGGATCAGAGAGGTTGAACAATTTGCCTAAAGTCGCACAGCTATCTTATACCCTGGGGTGGCCCATCTCTTTAACCGCTGTTCTTTTTTTTTAATTTATTTTAAAATGTTTATTTTTGGCTGTGTTGGGTCTTCATTGCTGCGCGTGGGCTTTCTCTAGTTGCGGTGAGCGGGGGCTACTCTTCGTTGCGGTGCGTGGGCTTCTCACTGCAGTGGCCTCTCTTGTTGCAGAGCACGGGCTCTAGGCACGCAGGCTCAGTAGTTGTGGCACACGGGCTCAGTAGTTGTGGCTCACGGGCTCTAGAGCTCAGGCTCAGTAGTTGTGGTGCACAGGCTTAGTTGCTCCGCGGCATGTGGGATCTTCCCCATGGGCTCGAACCCATGTCCCCTGCATTGGCAGGCAGGTTCTCAACCATTACGCCAGCAGGGAAGCCCAACAGTCAAGTTTTTAATCACTTACTGTGATGATATAAGCAAGAGGGGAAGTGCCAGCTCTCCCAGTGTTGCATTTTTCCCCATGGGACAGTGCTGGGCAGGGTCAGATGTGTTGCAGATGAGGAATCATTTCACTGTTGAGAGAAGCCCCTGCTTTACGGACTTGTGTGTGTGTTGGGGGAATGAGAGCAGGAAGGGACAGGAATGAAAAAGTACGGAGTCAGAGCAAAGTGTCTCCCCACTCCTCCTGATATGAAGGTCTTGGCCGAGGCAACTGAGACCTCAGAATGGAAGCTCCTGGGCTAGGAATGCAGCTTTGCATAAGAGCACATGAGGCCTTCCACATAAAGCCTTTGAAATGGCCTGTGATTGGGCCTGAAAGATCACACATTGGTTTGTGGCCAGGAGCTAAACTCCTCACAAGTGTGTCCCAGGTCTTTGGAGTCAGCCTGCTTCTTACTGGCTGTGTGCCCTGGCATGAGGTCATTTACTTTCTCTAAGCCTTGGCTTCCTTATCTAAAAATCCTTCTCTAACGAGGTTGATGTGAGAAGTTAACAAGTTAATGCTCACAGAATACTTAGCACAGTGCCTGGCACATAGTAGGTGCTAAATAACGGTAACTGCTTTAGTGAGCTACTGCTGTGTAACAAATCACCCTAAAACTTAGAGGCTTAAAACAGTAATCATTTATTTGCCCATGATTTTTCAGGATGAGCAGGGCCCAGAGAGAACAGCTTGTCACTGTCTTGTCAGTGTCGGCTGGGGCAGTTCTACTGGGCCTGGGGGCCCATCCAATTTCAAGATGGCTCCCTCACATGTCTTGTAAGCTGATGCTATATGAGGGCTGGGCACTCTGCTGAATCCGTCATCTGGGGCCAGGGGTGGGGTAGGCACCTCAGTTCTCCTTTACCTGGGCCTCTCCATGCAGCTGCTTGGGCTCCCTCACAGCATGGTGCTTGGGGTTCCAAGAATGAAGAAGTGGAAACTGCTGGTCCTCTTAAAGGTTAGGCTTAGATCTGGCACAGCATCACTTTGTAATATTCTCTTGGTCATGCAATCCTAGGCTGGCCCAGATTCGGGGGAACGAAGGAATAGACTCCATCTCTTTCTTTTTTAAAAAAAATATTTATTTGGCTGGGCCAGGTCTTAGTTGTGGCACGTGGGATCTTCGTTTGCCGCATGTGGGATCTTCGTTGCGGCATGCGGGATCTTTTTAGTTGCGGCATGCGGGATCTTTTTAGTTGCGGCATGCAGGGTCTAGTTCCCTGACCAGGGATCGAACCTGGGCCCTCTGCATTGGGAGCATGGAGTCTTAGCCACTGGACCACCAAGGAAGTACCTAGACTCCACCTCTTGATGGAGGTGTGGCTACTGATACAGGGAGAGGAGGACCTGATGGTGGCCAGCGTTGGAAATAAGCTAACATGCTGCTTTTATTATAAATTGGTGTCAGGACTCCAGACCCATGAAAGATAACCTCTCCTCCTCATTGAGGACTGCTTGCAGTGCACCAATCAGGAGGCAAGGGAGCTCCCCAAGTTTTGCAAGGGAATCTATTGAAGTTATTCCATTTCCTGTAGCTTTGAGTCAAGACATTAGAAGGAGAAAGTAGGAGAAAAACGTTGGCAAGACCTGGGTCACTTTGACTCTTTTTACTCTGGAAATCTTTATACATTTGAAAGGAGTCCGGGGCTAAGGTGGGGACCATCTGTGCAGACCCACTTGGAAATCTCACTGAAAAGACTTCCTGACTCCGGGAGACATTCTAGACAATCGGTTAGGGCCTTGGAGGGTGGCAAGGTGGCTGTTGAGAGGAACAGGCAGGGACAAACTCACTCTCTTGGTTAGAGAAGATGAGCTAAACTTGGTGTGGTATTTACAAAGGGGTACGCGGTTCTCAGAATGACCTGTCCAGAGACAGAGGCCCAGAGGCTGAGCTGCAATGTACTGGTCTCTGCTGACTCAGGACGGTCACTCTCTGCCCGCCTCTTCCTGGGCAGCCCTCAGGGCTCAGCCTGGATGTCACTAGCTCAAGAGACCCTTCCCCACCCCACCCCCAGCCCAGGTAGGCTCCCTGCTGCTGTGTACCCCCATAGCCCCTGCCGTCGGCTCCCTAACTCTCATCCCACGTGGACTTGCTTGTTTTCCAACTGACCCCTCACTGGGAGCCTCTTGGCTTCAGCGACCTTGTCCACTTTGTTACCAGCTATAGCCCAGCTCTGCGAATGGCACCGCCCTTCCCCTGGTGGCCCAGGTGACATCCTTGGTTCCTCCTACTGCCTCACCCCTCACATCCACTATCTGTTAAGAGTCCTCCGGACGTTCCTTAAATCTGTCCAATCTGTCTCTCTCTTCCCAAATCCAACCCTGCCTTCTCTCTCACCTGGGTTGCCCACAGCAGCCTCTTCACTGGCCTCCCTGCCTCCAGGCCTTCCTGAGGATGGTCTTTTGAAGCAAATCTAACCAGGCTTCTCCCTGTCCTATCCCTTCAATGACTTTCCTTAACTCTCGAATTGAAGTATAAGCTCTTGAACGTAACCTACAGACATGGTCTGATGCTGCTTCCTACTTTGTACTCCTTTCCAGCCACACTGAAAGTTTACTTCCTTGTCATTTATATCTCAGTAAAACTGGGGGGTATGGTCGGGGGCAGAAACAAAAGAAAATTTACTTCCTTAAAGATGCTGGGCTCCTTCTACCCTCCAAACCTTCGTCTTTGCTGTTCCTCTTGTCCAGAACAACTTTCTTGCTCATCCCTTTCCTAATTCCTATTCATCCTTCACATCCAGCTTGGGCGTCAGGGAGCATTATTCGGTCACACCCCATGTTTCCTCCCTCACACTGCTCTGTAATTGCACTTTTATTTTTTAATTTAATTTTATGTTTTTTTAAATTAATTTTTATTGGAGTATAGTGGATTTACAATGTTGTGTTAGTTTCTGCTGTACAGCAAAGTGAATCAGTTATACATATACATATATCCACTCTTTTTTAGATTCTTTTCCCGTATAGGTCATTACAGAGTATTGAGTAGAGTTCCCTGTGCTGTAGGGTCTTATTAGTTACCTATTTTATGTATAGTAGTGTGTATATGTCAATCCCAATCTCCCAATTTATCCCTCCCCCCTTTTTAAATTTAAATTTTATCGCACTTTTAAATGTTTGGGCCCTGCTATAGGAGGGTTTCTCAAGCTCAACACAATTGGTTTCTCCAGTCATGTTGGGC